TATGTAAAACACAGAGAGCTGTATGCTAGTGGCTAGTACTCTATCTATTCAATATGTAAAACACAGAGAGCTGTATGCTAGTGGCTTGTATCAATGTAAGGAATGACAGTACTTTGGTCAGTGACGATTCGCTGTAAAAACGATCATATTATTTAGTCAGAACTAAGAAATGAGATGTACAACTAGTTTTTAATCGTCCTCTTCAAAGAAGTCTTTACTGAAGCAAACCTTACATCGATTCAATAATTTTGGACCTCATTCCCTGACGACAGTTGACCTGGAATAACCATTCCTGTGCGAAATAACCACCAGTAAACAATGAATTTGTAAAGATGGACATTAAAACTTTTTTATTAATAATGTTTTCCGGCCACAACAATAAAATTTAACAAATAATCACTAAAAAAAGTGACCTAACATCAGCTGTACATTTCATACAGCATAGTAAAACTGACCAAGCTTAAAACTCACTACAACATTCATGTAGTGCTTTCAGCAGCATTTCACCAAAGACAAAATCATTATACATATGTACAAATCCACATTGAATCCCATCGCAAATTTCACATATGTACAGCGCACGTGACTGTGGTAAAGAGTACAAACATCAATCAACTTCGTTGCTCAGTTCAAGATTCAGTTTTTATTTTCTTCTCCTAAAAGTTGACAATGTGTAGAAGAGCTCCCGAGACAGGTCAGAGTTCAAATTCTTATACAAGGAAGTAGCAAAAAAAAAAAATGAAATTCCTTTTCAAAAACATTTACAATATTAGTCAAATGCTTGATTGTGCCACATTGGGCTGACTGACACACGGACTATAGCCTGTAGATTGTGATAGGACAGTTGACACTGCACTGAAAGAAATATACATTCAACCATGTCAAGCATACAGAGATTTGGAGTTCTGCTACATCGTTCAGACATTAGAACTGGTGGTGTGATAAACAAACCCTTTACCCAGTCTCCCTCCATCTCCCTACTTACCTACTGACCGCAAGCATTCTCCAGATAGGTAGATAGATAGATATATAGATAGATATGGCCCTTGAATGACAGAAAGTGGCCTTATTTCTACTCAGAGGGCCTTATTCATTTCCTCACAGCCACAAAACGTAGAAAGGAATGCACTTTGGTATGTAACCAAATGCCCTGGGTTATTCAAATCACAATAAGAAGATATATCTATCACAACAGTCTGAGGTAAAGATTAAAAACGCCTTCTTTCCTTCTCTTCAGGAGTCATAAAATGAAGCAAACAGCTATAACCACCTTCCGGAGACACTTGAAACCCTACCTCTTTAAGGAATACCTGGAATAGTATAAAAGTAATCCTTCTACCCCCCCCCCCCCTCCTCCCCCACATAAAAAAAAAAAAAGTGGTTGTCCCACTGGCTATCATAAGTTGAATGCACCAATTTGTAAGTGGCTCTGGATCAGAGCGTCTGCTAAATGACGTAAATGTAAATGTAAATAACCCCTTGAATTGTTTCGATGTTAAGACAAGACAGAGGCCGTCAGTTCCTCAACCCGTTCAGAGCAGCTAAGGTGATGGCTTCTTACTAAGCGTTCCGTGATGGCAAAGGGTGTTTACAGGTGAGAGAATTAGTCATCCCACAGGACTGAAGCTCTGTCTCTAAACTGCATGGCTGCTGCCCAAATGACATCCTGTTACCTTTAGAGTGCCCAATGGGGCTCTGGTCAAAAGTAGTGCACTATATAGGGAATAGGGTGCCGTTTTGGGACGCAGCCCCATTGTAATACCAGTCATTGTGCGGCCTTCTTGGATTTCTCCCTGCTACCTCTTCCATAGGTTCAGCCAGGAAGAGTGTCTTTGGGCATTGCTTGAAGAAAACATACATGAAAATGACTGTAAACATTTCAAACATCTGTGAAATGGATGTATGTTCAGGGGGGAGATGTACTGTAGGTAGGTGTAGGGGGATGATGTCATGATGTTACTGGTTGTTGGGTTACAAAATGAATGGCATTGATAACCAAAGGCACATTGTATTCAACCTAAGGGCACAATTCCTCACGACTATCAATCCACAAAACAACTATAATAAAAAGTCAAAAGAACGTTGTGACCCGGCCCCCTGTCCTGCCTCGCCCCTCCCCGCTGATGTTCTCCAATCAGCAGGTGGGAGTGGGTTCCAAAGGGGCGGGGCTTCTGAGCAGTGTGCAGCTGGCCCTGGCAGGCACTGAACCAATCATCAGCGGGGCAGGTGAGGCGACGCCCCACTGGGGCGCCATTGGCCGGGGCTCTACTCCCTGACAGCCCGCCCCCAATCCGACCTCAAAACCCCTGACCTGATGAGGTCACCAGGTCGTCCATCCAATCCCCAGCCAGCCACACCTGTTCTGCAGAGTAGTAGTTGTGAGCTCCAATCAAACAGAGACTGTCTTTCTCCTCTGTGTCCTGGAGCTTCCAAGTTTCCACGTAGCGACAGTCAGATAGGATCCCATAGTATAGTGTTCTTGTGCATTAGGTCATAAGTGACTCCGTGGTTACCGACCGACCAACCGACCGACCGACGAGACAACAACACAACACTCTGTTCTATTCAGCCCTAAGTTCGGTTTAATATCTTTTAGATTGGCTCTTTTCTTTGACAGTATTTTTCATACGAACTAAATAAGTAAAACTTTGACAAAGCTTTCCAGAAGCCTCAGTCTGATTATGGTTAACTGATAAAAACCTTTGTCAAATACTTTAGAAAATCTGAAGATCGAACACATTTCGGGGAAATGTTCATTACTAGGCGTAGGAATTTGTTCCAAAGGTAGAATTTCACATAAAGTAAAGGGGGATATTTGAACACTTTTTGTCTGTGCAAGGGAACAAGCGTTTTAGGAATTTACACTCTGGCCAGAGACCCGTATTGGCCCAATGGTTCACTACTGAAAATATTCAAGAAACTATCAAATCAAAATAAAACTCCAAACTCTATAGTTGCAACAGTCAACAAGGTATAAGCTAAGCGATTCAAAAAGCTACATGAGTCAACCTTATGTGGAGAATCAAGTCCTGATTCATCAGTGTGCTTTATAACAACGTGTTATATCACTAACTGCCTTTCACTACAACCTGGAGTATTACCGGGACGACCCAGGGTCTGAAGAACACCTTCTATTCAGTATTACCGGGACGACCCAGGGTCTGAAGAACACCTTCTATTCAGTATTACCGAAACGACCCAGGGTCTGAAGAACACCTTCTATTCAGTATTACCAAGACGACCCAGGGTCTGAAGAACACCTTCTATTCAGTATTACCAAGACGACCCAGGGTCTGAAGAACACCTTCTATTCAGTATTACCGGGACGACCCAGGGCTCTGAAGAACACCTTCTATTCAATATTACCGAGACGACCCAGGGTCTGAAGAACACCTTCTATTCAGTATTACCAAGACAACCCAGGGTCTGAAGAACACCTACTATTCAAGTATATGCAGTCATGCCCATGTAGTAATCACCTTATCGACCTACTGACCCCTACCTACCTACCCAGCCTGACCCTAGATCAGAGTCCTTCAACACAGACACAGTCCTCTCTGATGAGGACATCATAATATCCATAGTCCTTCAACACAGACACAGTCCTCTCTGATGAGGACATCATAATATCCATAGTCCTTCAACACAGACGCAGTCCTCTCTGATGAGGACATCATAATATCCATAGTCCTTCAACACAGACGCAGTCCTCTCTGATGAGGACATTATAATATCCATAGTCCTTCAACACAGACACAGTCCTCTCTGATGAGGACATCATAATATCCATAGTCCTTCAACACAGACACAGTCCTCTCTGATGAGGACATCATATAATATCCAAAGCCACTTCACTTCAGCACATTTAGTTTCTAATCATCCAATAATCTGCTAGAACAAAACAAAATCCTCTATCCATCCATTTTCAAATAAAACACATTCTTTTTTAAAGAAAATGTTTTTAAGCACCATTGTTTTGCTGTGAGGATGTACAGTTCACAGCAGCTGTACGAAGGAATAGCACCTAATAATTCATTATGTCGACATCTCATCTTTTGATAGATACCATTCCTCTCCTCTCCACTACTGAACGAACACGTCATTCTGTGTGTTGCGCCCTTGTTTCTGGCACAGGTGAAAACAGGCAAACCTGCACTCTTTTCCTCCTTCCAGTTGTGGTTTTATAAAGGAATGTCAAGAGAATTCTAGGCACGTACCAATAGTCTGTGATGTAAACAAATGTTTCCACGCCGTGGTCCGACCTCTCACTTTAACTCTTAACGGTCTTAAAAAACTTCCACTTTCCTCCTTGCACTTCTTTTGCCAAAACCTCATCTCGGATACTATTTTCTTGGCTTATAAAAACACCTATCTCTCACAGCTATTTAATGTCACAATATCAATCAGATAAGGTAGAGAAGCAGAGATTAAATAGCTCCGGGGTGTCTGATATGAGTTAGTTACCGATGTGTTCATCGTGGGCCAGCCACCCCATTCTGTTTTTCTACACTACTATGCCCAGGTTGTCAATCTCTGCTTGGGCCAGATTGTGTGAATGGGAGCCGCCTGCCCCCCATCATAGCACACAGTCCTGAGATTAAAAATCCTAAAAGCATTGTTCCCTTCATGATGACCAGTTTCATGTTCTCGTCTTGTTTATAGGTAGATAAAGCTGCTACAAAGCTGCTAAAAACATGGTGTAGTGAATAATAATGCAGTAGCATAACAGTCCCTCTGTCTAAAACCACACTGTTGAGTAGTACTGTTGAGTAGTACTGTTGAGTAGTACTGTGAGTAGTACTGTGAGTAGTACTGTTGAGTAGTACTGTGAGCAGTACTGTTGAGTAGTACTGTGAGTAGTACTGTGAGTAGTACTGTTGGGCTTCCCAGTTGTTTTTGCTCTCAGAGACAAACATCATCATCATCTCCATTTAAAAAACAAACAAAAAGCAATAAGATCACCTAGATTAGACAACGAACTAGCGTTGTTTACGGTTCCTTCAACTGACTAGTTTTGGCAACACTGTCCTCTGTTGGATGTTCCCGTTAGCGTCCGTCATTTGTGCCAGGTTAGTCCTCATCTTGGAGGTGGAGCCTGAGGTGGGAGGTAATTTGGAGATTGACGTGATAGCACCAGAGCCCCCGTCGGTGATGCGCTTCACCGCCGTTTTGTCCCCCGTGGGAGGTTTGGGCAAGCGCCTCCTGAGCCAGGGATGCCTAAGGGCCTGGCTGGGGGTCATGCGCAGGGCCGGGTCCCACTCCAGACACTGCTTGATGAAGTCCAGGAACAGGGGGTCGTCGCAGCCTTTCAGGGCCGTCACCCACTCCTTGCTCCCCGGGGGGCCCCTCAGCTTTCCCCGGCGGGAGCGCCCCCCGTTCAGCGCCACCGAGCCGTCCGGCAGGGTCGTCACCGTGCAGTACCGGGGGTACCCCTTGGAGCTCACAAAGTTTTTGGCTCTCTTGGAGGAATCCAGCAGCTTCTGCGAGGGCATGCCCAGCAGCTCGATGACGCAGGCCAGTTGATCCCCTTCATCCTCGCCTGGCAGGAGAGGGTAGCCGGTGAGTAACTCTGCTAAGATACAGCCCAGGCTCCACATGTCAATAGGCATCCCATAGCGTGACCCCAGGATGACCTCAGGAGCTCTGTAAAAACGAGACTGGATGTAGGTGTAGACCCGCTGGTGCTCGTAGCAGCTGGAGCCGAAGTCGATGACCTTGATCCCACTGCGTCCCTGTTGCTTCAGGAGAATGTTCTCCGGCTTCAGGTCACAGTGGATGATCCGGTTCTTGTGCAGCGAGTCCAGACACTGCAGGATAGAGTGGGCGAACTTCCTGACCAGCGGCAAGCTGAAGCCCTGGAACTTGTTCTTCTTGATGAGCTCATAGAGGTTCATGCTGAGGAGTTCAAAGGTCATGCAGATGTGGTTACGGAATGTGAAGTTCTCCAGCATGTGGATCACGTTCATGGTGGAGTCTTTGTCCTGCTTCCTCAGGTGCTCCAGGATCCGGATCTCCTCAGCCGCCTGGCGGTGGAACCTCTTCTCATTCCTCACCATCTTCAGCGCCACGTGACAGTGGGCCTTGTGGTCGTAGGCCTTCACCACCTGACCGAAGCTGCCCTTGCCGATCACCTTGAGAACCTCATAGCGGTAGGAGACGTGGTCGTGGGGCACCTGGATGTAGGAGCCCTGATCGTCATCGTACCCTCCGTTGTTGGATCCCCCGATCACCCCCGGCCTCTTCTTGGCGTTGGGGCCCGTGAAGTACACCTCTGGGTAGCTGAAGATCTCATGGTGCTCGAAGGCTGTCAGTTTGGACATGAACTGCTTCATGGCCTGCTCCGGGGTCAGGGGGGCCGGCTGGGGCTTGCCGTCGGTGGACTTGAGGGAGGCTGAGCTGCCCTGCCGACACTGGGCCGTGCTAGTGGTGATGTCGGGCTGCTGTCGGTCAGGCGGCTGTAGCCCTGCCCGGCCCACGGGGGTCAACCCATTGGGCTGTGCAGTCAACACTGTCCGTTTGTTGCTGTTCTCCTCAAACAGCTGTTGAACGTGGATCTGTTGGTGGTTCCCCACGTGGATCTGTTGGTGGTTCCCCACGTGCGTGTGGTCACTCATGGTGTGCTTATTGCCTCCAACCTGGAAGAGATCAGAGAGACACAACAAGCCATTAGAATCAGCAACAGCATCAACATGGCAGGAAAACAGAAAGAGTTTATATGCCTTTTGAACCATGCACCCAAATACTTTTATCAACTATTGAGTCGGGCACGCCAATTCTCGATTCTAAAACACAGGACATTTGATGGGGTTGAAAACAGTACATTATTTGACTGCATCTCCAACCAACACAAAGGTGTGTTTCTAGATATAATCCAGCTACCACTGACAGGAGCACCTGGTCCAGGTTTTAGCTAATGTATTATAGAGGCTTACGTTACAGCATCCACATGACAGCGGTGTTGTATCTATAGCTTTAGAAAGCTTTATGTAGTCCGTTGTACTGATCTGCAGGATAAGGCTCTTAGCAGGGAGTAGTGTGTGTGTGTGTGTGTGTGTGTGTGTGTGTGTGTGTGTGTGTGTGTGTGTGTGTGTGTGTGTTTGGGACACCTAGGGTGACTTCACAGAATTTATGGGATAGCATTCACAGGATAACATTTACTATCATTACCGTATGTAGACAATCTACCCCTCAGAGTCCACTGTCCTCTGGTTCTAAACAACGCAATCACACAGGAAGCTGTGGGGGGACTCTCTCACTCCCCGTCCCACTCTGCTCTGGACCAAATCAACAGAGAAGACAGTGCTTTACAAAGAGCCTATCAAGAGTCTGTGTGTGTGCGTGTGCATGTGTGTGTTCTGCGGGAGGATTGTGATTGTGAAATAGGACACAATGGTGAACAAACAGGATTTACAGACTCAACAGGATTCAAGGGAACAGCTCCAATGGGGACTAGGCTGCTTCTTGCTGAGTGTTGACCTCATCAGTTAGAAGTACTGGCTGCTGTATAACATAACTGACCAGCCCAGCCAGCCCCACACCCTCCCTTACTCTGTATAACATAACTGACCAGCCCAGCCAGCCCTACACCCTCCCTTACTCTGCATAACATAACTGACCAGCCCAGCCAGCCCCACACCCTCCCTTACTCTGCATAACATAACATAACTGACCAGCCCAGCCAGCCCCACACCCTCCCTTACTCTGTATAACATAACTGACCAGCCCAGCCAGCCCCACACCCTCCCTTACTCTGCATAACATAACTGACCAGCCCAGCCAGCCCCACACCCTCCCCTACTCTGTATAACATAACTGACCAGCCCAGCCAGCCCAACACCCTCCCTTACTCTGTATAACATAACTGACCAGCCCAGCCAGCCCCACACCCTCCCTTATTCTGCATAACATAACTGACCAGCCCAGCCAGCCCCACACCCTCCCTTACTCTGTATAACATAACTGACCAGCCCAGCCAGCCCCACACCCTCCCTTACTCTGCATAACATAACTGACCAGCCCAGCCAGCCCCACACCCTCCCTTACTCTGCATAACATAACTGACCAGCCCAGCCAGCCCCACGCCCTCCCTTACTCTGCATAACATAACTGACCAGCCCAGCCAGGCCCCACACCCTCCCTTACTCTGCATAACATAACTGACCACCCAGCCAGCCCACACCCTCCCTTATCTGCATAACATAACATAAACTGACCAGCCCAGCCAGCCCTACACCCTCCCTTACTCTGCATAACATAACTGAACCAGCCCACAGCCAGACCCCACACCTCCCTTACTCTGCATAACATAACTGACCAGCCCAGCAGCCCCTACACCCTCCCTTTACCTGCATACATAACTGACCAGCCCATCAGCCCACACCTCCCTTACTCTGATACATAACTGACCAGCCCAGCCAGCCCCCACCCTCCCTTACTCTGCATAACATAACTGACCCAGCCCAGCCAGCCCTACACCCCCTTACTCTGTCATAAACATAACTGACCAGCCCAGCCAGCCCTACACCCTCCCTTACTCTGTATAACATAACTGACCAGCCCAGCAGCCCCACACCCTCCCTTACTCTGCATAACATAACTGACCAGCCCAGCCAGCCCTACACCCTCCCTTACTCTGTATAACATAACTGACCAGCCCAGCCAGCCCCACACCCTCCCTTACTCTGCATAACATAACTGACCAGCCCAGCCAGCCCCACACCCTCCCTTACTCTGTATAACATAACTGACCAGCCCAGCCAGCCCTACACCCTCCCTTACTCTGCATAACATAACTGAACCAGCCCAGCCAGCCCATACACCCCTCCTTACTCTGTATCACATAACTGAACCAGCCCAGCCAGCCCCACACCCTCCCTTACTCTGCATAACATAACTGACCAGCCCAGCCAGCCCCACACCCTCCCTTACTCTGTATAACATAACTGACCAGCCCAGCCAGCCCACACCCTCCCTTACTCTGCATAACATAACTGACCAGCCCAGCCAGCCCCACACCCTCCCTTACTCTGTATAACATAACTGACCAGCCCAGCCAGCCCCACACCCTCCCTTACTCTGCATAACATAACATAACTGACCAGCCCAGCCAGCCCCACACCCTCCCTTACTCTGTATAACATAACTGACCAGCCCAGCCAGCCCCACACCCTCCCTTACTCTGCATAACATAAACTGACCAGCCCAGCCAGCCCACACCCTCCCTTACTCTGCATAACATAACTGACCAGCCCAGCCAGCCAGCCCCACACCCTCCCATACTCTGCATAACATAACTGACCAGCCCAGCCAGCCCCACACCCTCCCTTACTCTGCATAACATAACTGACCAGCCCAGTCCGGGTCCGATGCATATCTGATGACCTCACAGACCATAATACAACCCATCCTGGTCTGTTTCGCTCTTTCTCTCTCTTCCTCCTCTCTCTTCCTCCTCTCTCTTTCTCTTTCTCTTTCTCTTTCTCTTTCTCTTTCTCTCTCTCTCTCTGTCTTTCTCTTTCTCCCTCTCTCTTTCTCTCGGCATTGTGTCATTGACATACTGCATTCTGTGTTTGAATAATTACATTTTCTATGTTCCATTAGGAAGAGGGCCTCCTTCTCTCCCCGGCCGAGCCCTACGTGATTCTGTCAGCAGCCAAGTGTGAGATAATAGACAACGTGCTCAGCTCACTGCCAGGTCAGGCTATTCCCTAGAAACTCACTACCAGGTCAGGCTATTCACTAGAAACTCACTACCAGGTCAGGCTATTCCCTAGAAACTCACTACCAGGTCAGGCTATTCACTAGAAACTACCAGGTCAGACTATTCCCTAGAAACTACCAGGTCAGGCTATTCCCTAGAAACTACCAGGTCAGGCTATTCACTAGAAACTACCAGGTCAGGCTATTCACTAGAAACTACCAGGTCAGACTATTCCCTAGAAACTACCAGGTCAGGCTATTCACTAGAAACTACCAGGTCAGGCTATTCCCTAGAAACTCACTGCCAGGTCAGGCTATTCCCTAGAAACTACCAGGTCAGGCTATTCCCTAGATACTCACTACCAGGTCAGGCTATTCACTAGAAACTACCAGGTCAGGCTATTCACTAGAAACTCACTACCAGGTCAGGCTATTCACTAGATACTACCAGGTCAGGCTATTCCCTAGAAACTACCAGGTCAGGCTATTCACTAGAAACTACCAGGTCATGCTATTCACTAGAAACTCACTACCAGGTCAGGCTATTCACTAGAAACTCACTACCAGGTCAGGCTATTCCCTAGAAACTCACTACCAGGTCAGGCTATTCACTAGAAACTACCAGGTCAGGCTATTCACTAGAAACTACCAGGTCAGGCTATTCACTAGAAACTCACTACCAGGTCAGGCTATTCACTAGAAACTACCAGGTCAGGCTATTCACTAGAAACTCACTACCAGGTCAGGCTATTCCCTAGAAACTCACTACCAGGTCAGGCTATTCACTAGAAACTACCAGGTCAGGCTATTCACTAGAAACTACCAGGTCAGGCTATTCACTAGAAACTACCAGGTCAGGCTATTCACTAGATACTCACTACCAGGTCAGGCTATTCACTAGAAACTACCAGGTCAGGCTATTCACTAGAAACTCACTACCAGGTCAGGCTATTCACTAGATACTCACTACCAGGTCAGGCTATTCACTAGAAACTCACTACCAGGTCAGGCTATTCACTAGAAACTACCAGGTCAGGCTATTCACTAGATACTACCAGGTCAGACTATTCACTAGATACTCACTACCAGGTCAGGCTATTCACTAGATACTCACTACCAGGTCAGGCTATTCACTAGATACTCACTACCAGGTCAGGCTATTCACTAGAAACTCACTACCAGGTCAGGCTATTCCCTAGAAACTACCAGGTCAGGCTATTCCCTAGAAACTACCAGGTCAGGCTATTCCCTAGAAACTACCAGGTCAGGCTATTCACTAGAAACTCACTACCAGGTCAGGCTATTCCCTAGAAACTACCAGGTCAGGCTATTCACTAGAAACTACCAGGTCAGGCTATTCACTAGAAACTACCAGGTCAGGCTATTCACTAGAAACTACCAGGTCAGGCTATTCACTAGAAACTCACTACCAGGTCAGGCTATTCACTAGAAACTACCAGGTCAGGCTATTCACTAGAAACTACCAGGTCAGGCTATTCACTAGATGCTCACTACCAGGTCAGGCTATTCCCTAGAACTAACGGTTGGATGCTGCTAGATCCTTGCCAGTAAAATCCATAGAGAATGAAATGGACAGCAAGTGTGTACAATATGCTTTTGCATTCAGTATGCGTAGAGAGAAGTTTTAGGTTGTTTTTAGAAATATTATTTCATACTAACTTCAATACTATGTATATCTAGCTCCTTATTTCCTATAGATGTTGACCATGAACCTTATTAGTGTATTTCCTGTGTTCCTGTTTCCTGTCCCCCGTTAGTAGATAAGGTGATTACCTCCTGGCTCGGCAGGCATCTTCTTTTCTCTACAACATCCTGTTGCTTCGTTCGGGCAGGGGTTTGTCTATTCTTCCTGTCCTACTGCTTCTACACACACACACACACACACACACACACACACACACACACACACACACACACACACACACACACACACACACACAAGACCTTTCAGAACCTGAATCTGCATGGTTAGAGTCCTTCTTCTCTCCCTCCACAAACCATTACTGTCCTGTCAGTAGAATAGAGTCTATGTCTCCACAAACCATTACTGTCCCGTCTGTAGAATAGAGTCTATGTCTCCACAAACCATTACTGTCCTGTCTGTAGAATAGAGTCTATGTCTCCACAAACCATTACTGTCCCGTCTGTAGAATAGAGTCTATGTCTTCAGAAACCATTACTGTCCTGTCAGTAGAATATAGTCTATGTCTCCACAAACCATTACTGTCCCGTCTGTAGAATAGAGTCTATGTCTCCACAAACCATTACTGTCCCGTCTGTAGAATAGAGTCTATGTCTCCACAAACCATTACTGTCCCATCTGTAGAATAGAGTCTATGTCTCCACAAACCATTACTGTCCCGTCAGTAGAATAGAGTCTATGTCTCCACAAACCATTACTGTCCCGTCTGTAGAATAGAGTCTATGTCTCCACAAACCATTACTGTCCCGTCTGTAGAATAGAGTCTATGTCTCCACAAACCATTACTGTCCCGTCTGTAGAATAGAGTCTATGTCTCCACAAACCATTACTGTCCCATCTGTAGAATAGAGTCTATGTCTCCACAAACCATTACTGTCCCGTCAGTAGAATAGAGTCTATGTCTCCACAAACCATTACTGTCCCGTCTGTAGAATAGAGTCTATGTCTCCACAAACCATTATTTTCCTGTCTGTAGAATAGAGTCTATGTCTCCACAAACCATTACTGTCCCGTCTGTAGAATAGAGTCTGTCTCAATACAGTTGGTATTCCATAGGGAACACATTCAGCTGTTTAGAACGGATGTATTACTCTGTCTGTACAGTTCATTTCCCTTCTAACGTCTTTTATTCATCTAGACATGTGTCCCAAATGGCACCCTATTCCCTACACAGTGCACTACTGTTGTGTGTATACTTTATAGTGCACTATAAAGGGAATAGGGTGCCACTTCAGGCGCACCTAGAGGTCGCTGTGTGTTAATCCATCAGAACGTGTCAGAGTACAGTAACAGACACTGGTCTCCTGGAGGTGGTGTTGTATTATGAGGGCAAAACAAGATTTCTGCTGCTTGGCTTTCCTTCAACAGATCCTAGTGGATTGATTTGTTATTCGGACCGGATGGCAGATCCCTGGGATAGAGAGAGGATGATGTAACACTAACAGCCAGCTATCTTCTACTAACTGTTCCTGTAGCTAAGATACCGATGCACACTGTGACATGGAATGCCTTTTAAAGAAACAAATCGGCTGGTTGTATGTCTGTCTGTCTGTCTGTCTGTCTCTCTCTCTAACTCTGACCCTTGCTCTGGAACATAGACAGGACAGAGCTGGTACTAGTCCTCTGGGTTAAGGAGACAGTCAGTCCCCTTGCTCTGGAACATAGACAGGACAGAGCTGGTACTAGTCCTCTGGGTTAAGGAGGCAGTCAGTCCCCTTGCTCTGGAACATAGACAGGACAGAGCTGGTACTAGTCCTCTGGGTTAAGGAGACAGTCAGTCCCCTTGCTCTGGAACATAGACAGGACAGAGCTGGTACTAGTCCTCTGGGTTAAGGAGACAGTCAGTCCCCTTGCTCTGGAACATAGACAGGACAGAGCTGGTACTAGTCCTCTGGGTTAAGGGGACAGTCAGTCCCCTTGCTCTGGAACATAGACAGGACAGAGCTGGTACTAGTCGTCTGGGTTAAGGAGACAGTCAGTCCCCTTGCTCTGGAACATAGACAGGACAGAGCTGGTACTAGTCCTCTGGGTTAAGGGGACAGTCAGTCCCCTTGCTCTGGAACATAGACAGGACAGAGCTGGTACTAGTCCTCTGGGTTAAGGGGACAGTCAGTCCCCTTGCTCTGGAACATAGACAGGACAGAGCTGGTACTAGTCCTCTGGGTTAAGGGGACAGTCAGTCCCCTTGCTCTGGAACATAGACAGGACAGAGCTGGTACTAGTCCTCTGGGTTAAGGGGACAGTCAGTCCCCTTGCTCTGGAACATAGACAGGACAGAGCTGGTACTAGTCCTCTGGGTTAAGGAGACAGTCAGTCCCCTTGCTCTGGAAACATAGACAGGACAGAGCTGGTACTAGTCCTCTGGGTTAAGGAGACAGTCAGTCCCCTTGCTCTGGAACATAGACAGGACAGAGCTGGTACTAGTCCTCTGGGTTAAGGAGACAGTCAGTCCCCTTGCTCTGGAACATAGACAGGACAGAGCTGGTACTAGTCCTCTGGGTTAAGGAGACAGTCAGTCCCCTTGCTCTGGAACATAGACAGGACAGAGCTGGTACTAGTCCTCTGGGTTAAGGGGACAGTCAGTCCCCTTGCTCTGGAACATAGACAGGACAGAGCTGGTACTAGTCCTCTGGGTTAAGGGGACAGTCAGTCCCCTTGCTCTGGAACATAGACAGGACAGAGCTGGTACTAGTCCTCTGGGTTAAGGGAGACAGTCAGTCCCTTCTTGGAACATAGACAGGACAGAGCTGGTACTAGTCCTCTGGGTTAAGGAGACAGTCAGTCCCCTTGCTCTGGAACATAGACAGGACAGAGCTGGTACTGTCCTCTGGTTAAGGGGACAGTCAGTCCCCTTGCTCTGGAACATAGACAGGACAGAGCTGGTACTATCCTCTGGTAAGGAGACGTCAGTCC